TCATTCATGCTTTCTAGTCCCTTAAAAAACTTGATCGCAGCACATTTGTCACACAAATGAGTTTTTTTTGGGTAGACATTTGAGGTCCCATTTGTCTCATGTGGGACAAATGGGGCCGCATTGGTCTTACGTAAGACAAATGTGCTCCGAGACAAATGTGCTCCTACAAAGCCTACCATTGCACTAATTTTTAAAATCTTTCTTCAAAAACAAAACATTGTCGCTTTAATCGTTCATATTTTGACAAAAGACATTCAACTTTTTGCCACCGGAATAAACCTTCGTTTAAGTTATAAGGAGTTCTTTTATCCGGGATTTTGTTTTCTTGTATAACGTGGTGATACAATGTGGAACAATATAAGACATGTACATAAGTTATCAGTGTCTAAATAGTATTAGTAAATGGCTTGACAGTCTGCCGAGGAACGAGACAGTGGCTGAGTTACGCTTTGGCTTACTGCCGTACAGGGTAAACTGCCACCACCACCACACAGACAATACTGTTCATATCGTCAACTGCGTTAGTCACGCCTAAGATTAATCAAAGAAGAAATGCGTTTTATTGACGACTTTGTCAGCGTTCTTTTTTGACAATGGAATATCATGTAACAGGGGTTAGGTTTAAGGGACAAAACTCTTGTTTACTGTTGAATTTAATAATTTTGCAAAGGGAGACAAATCTGCCGGTCTTGTCTGATACTTTACAAGGGAGATTAATTTATTGTTTTAAGTGATTTAATTGATTGGATCTGTTGTCATTATTCTAAGAAATCAAATGATTTTAAGCTATTTCTGTGTCATGTGATTTCTTGGTGGGAAAAATCATTGTGTTTTTGTTGTATTTGAAGAAGAGATGTTAGAAAATTAGTGTTTTGTGATCGTAAGTTAGTGTGTATTTATCCTGACTGCTGCTAAATGCTTTACAGTAAATATGGAGAAATGCATTGTTAAGATTCTTTTCTATTTTGGTCCAGTCCAGTCCATTTATTGTTAAATTTGTAAATAAGTATGAGTTTCAGAATGACATGTATCTATCAAGTCACCTCTCATCTTTTATTCATTATTAATATTGAACCTTGTAGTTAACAGTCACTGGTGTGATAGAGAGAAAGTATCAGTTATAAGATTGATGTACTGCACTTATCCCTCAGATGGTACATGTGATGTATTGTGTATTGTTTAAAGTGTAATATAATAAATGTGTGGATAATTCCATAATCTATGCATATAATTATGATATTTAAGGACTATTCTAAGTTTAAAGGACTGATTGTCCACTAGATATGCTAATGATTATGTTCTAGATGTGAACATAAGTTATGATATTAATTAATGTAATGCATTGTTTCTACTTTATTTTACTTTATATTTACATAATTTTTATTGTTACATACTTATTGATGTAACAACCTTACAGTATTTGAAGATGGATCGTTTAGAAACATGATAGAACTTATCATAGCTGTTTGTTGAATTGATTTAACGACCCCGAACTTACTTGACCCTTAGGGCCTCGAATGGTAAAATATTTAAATTGCGCCGAACTACCCCTATTACATAACACATTAAACATAACTAGACAGTGACCTTGAAAATTTATCATTTTTTGTTATTTTATTTTTCATTTTACTGAGGCGTGTTGGTTTCAGGAATGTTTAGTTCATATTTAAAATGCTCAATTGAAGGTCTCGTTTGCAATTATTGTTTCCAAAATGTTTTGTTTTTTTTAATTGAAAGAAAATACATCAATTGTACTGTTAGATTTAAAATTTCACATCACACTTTTGTCTAAAATCGTATATTAACAGCAGGAAATACACACAAAAAACTGTTTCAGCAGCAGTTTGTTATACCAATTTCATGTGTCACAATATTTAAACCTCCTAACGTTGGACAGTTAGCCTGTTTATACAATACAATAATATAAATAATGATTAAATATTGTCATGAAAACGTTTGTTTGTAAATCAAAGTTGCAAATAATTCAGAAAAGATCCCGCCGTGTTGAGATCCGAACTTGCGACCTCCCGCTTTTCCAGCGAGTTACAACGTACTAGACAACCGAGTCAAAAAACCATAGATGTCAGATGTTGTTGTTAAGAAGGTAGGTGTGCATTCAATCGTAAGGCATCTCCTCTTTACAAAGGCATTTGTGATGACAGATAACTTTTTTTTCAAGTCCAAATCTCTCATTTTTTAAATTTGTAACTGAAGGCTGAAATGCAGGGATTCGTACTCGCGACCAGCCGCGTTAAAGCAAAAAAGGTGTTCACTCTAGCCAGGTGACCAAAGTTATCAGAGGTTATACTAATAGTAATGAATGTAGGTGTGTATTCAACCGTAATAACATACAACAACAACAACAAAACATATGTAAATAAATAATGAAATTCTTAAAGAAATAACCTTAATAACCATACTCGCACCCGAATGAACTGAAACAATCCGCAGAGAAGTAGTATGAAAACAGGATTAGGTATAAAAGACCCAAAAACAAACGTGTTCATTTACATGGTTAGTGCGATGTAAAAGGACAAGAAACAATTGATTTTATTCGAGAAAGTAGTCGTGGTAGAATGATCGCACTTTGTTGAAATTCGTGAAGCTGAAATCTTGAATTCGTATAGCTGAATTCATGACGTTCAAATCCATAATTGTTTAAGTTTAAATGTTCCTACCTGTCTTTCGTAATATTTAAAACTTGTGACGTTTACATTTTAAAAATTCGACTCGCTGAAAAAAGTACAAAAACAATTCATTCACAATCAGTCACACTTTAGCTTTATATCAGATATCGGCAGTATTCGTTTGTTGGTGTCGGATCTTAATCGAAATAATATATATATATATATATACGTTAAGTTTTTGCATTGATCAATGTGGCCACTGAAAGCAGAAATAAATTTAAAATAGTATCTTTGTGCCTTTTCTCAGTCTGATTAGAGTGAAAAGCATTTTTCAATTTTGTGTTATTTTCAGATAAGAATAATTATTATTGAAAAACCGAAGTGAACTAATTATGATAGTTTTCAAACAATTTTGGTCAAGACCAACATAAAATAGAACATTTATCCCTAAAAATAAGTAAAAACCTGAGTGGTGTTGCTTTAATAAAATCACCGTTTGTCGTTCCAAACGGTGATTTCGTTTAGAGATGAATGTTTAATAAACATCGTAAGAGGTGCGTTGACATTTAGGGACATAGGACAACCTCCGTTTATTATTAGTTATAAAGATTTTGACAGGTTATATGGCCCTATATAAACAGTTGTTTGTAAATATAACTCGAGCCGCTAGGCGAGGGTTATCTTGCCCCCAACCGTTTATACAGGGCCATATAACCTGTCAGAAATATTTATAAGGAACTTATAATACAGCAAGCATCATTTTTAGAAGAATAAAACGAGATTTCTTTAAAAATCGACAACAGTCGTGTATATTATTAGTTATAAAGATCGTTGACAGGTTATATGGCGCTATATAAACGGCTATTTGTAAATATAACCCGAATCGTTAGAAGGACCGACCGCTAATGTTGTAAGAACTTGGGCCCAAACCGTTTGCTTTTGCTGTTTAGAATACATATGAAATTTGTATCTGTCTTGTATATACATGTATATAGCAATAAAATATGATTAAATAGTTAGGCGAGGGTAATATTGCAAACAGCCGTTTATATTATTAGTTATAAAGATCGTTGACAGGTTATATGGCCCTATATAAACGGCTATTTGTAAATATATATTGCAAACAGCCGTTTATATACGGTCATATAACCTGTCAACAATCTTTATAACGAATTTATAATACAGCAAGCATCATTTTTAGAGGAATAAAGCGAGATTTCTTTATAATTTGACAGCAGCCGTGAATATAAAAATATATAAACGTCACGATTATCCAATGAAAAGCGACGTTACAAACGTGAAATTTTACCCATCTGCAGTCAATTGTATAAACGAAGGTTAAAATATACCACGGTAAGTTAATTACCGCGGTATATATTGTGGTTAGGTAACCGCGCGGTTATTCCATTTGTATAAACAAATTAACCACAAGGTAACCTAACCACGCAAAATTGAAAATTTAACCATGGTAATATTACCTATGATGCACCACGATGTGACGTAGTTTTCGCGGACAAATTCCAGACATCGTTTGTCTGTATTCTTGTCTGTCATTGTTACTTGTTTTTGCATGTTTACATGTTTTGTTATATCTGTCTTGTTGGATGGTCGTTGACGGTAGGTATTTTCTCTTTCCCAACCCTTCCATTTTTAACCCCCCCCCCACCTTTTCACCCGAACAGCCCTTTTCCCTTTAATTCCCTTATGCGCCTGTTTTTGTTTATATTATTTCACATTACATGTCCCGCTCCTTTCGCCCTTGTGTCCACTCCAGGTACTTGTTTGGTGCCTTCTGGATGTCCTACTTGGGTGTGTCCGGGGGCGGCGTACTGTGAACGTTGCCTTTGCCTTGTTGATCTTTATTCTTGTTATTTTGTTCAATAGTGCTTTTTTATATGTCCAATGCTTGACTTTGATATGATGAATTAAATTCTTTTGCTGCATTTATTGCTAGATAATTATGAAATGGAACAAGAATGATCTAATTCTACTTTATTTTATCATAACATGTGAAAAGATATACCGCGGGAAATTAAAAAAAAACAATTAAGCCAAAAGGTAGGCCTACCTTTTCTTTTTCTTAAATGTTGTCTATGAAATTTAAAAATAATATGCTATAGATCTAGATCTACTGAACAAGTTACAGAATTATTCAATCGTGTATGTCATATATGTATGTATGCTCTACAACTGCAAAGATCGTGTGCTAGTTGAACAATGATTATGGCGAAACCTGTCTTCCATACACAAAGCTGTGATGTAATCAATATTATTGATGTCATCGTGTACACTAGTATGACGTAGAAACTTCATTCAAGTTTACAAGATAGTTTATAAAAATACATTGACTAATATAAATATAAACAAGAGATTGTCGTATAACGTAGAAAGAACTCACGGATGTTACATACTTTTAATATACAAATACAAACACACATGTGAACGAGTTGAATACCAAAACTGAACTCCTCTCTGACATTTGAGAATCGTATATATAATATCAACCTGTCCTAAGGACATTTTATAATGTATATAAATACACACGTTTTAGAGTTACATATATAAATCATCCTGACATAAGGTCAGTCCGTATGCATCTCCTGCACTATAATACTCATAAATCATGTCATGTTCCATAGTGCACATTAAGAAATAAAAACCCTAATATATGTATATACATGTTGACTTGTCATTCTTTTTGAATATAGCATGTATGACTAATTAGCCTGTGCAACCAGCTATACGACAATACCTCCATTACTTATAAAAAAAATATTTAAAAAAAAAAGTTTTAAACAAGGTTACTATCAAATATTTCAAACTCGTTGTAACAAATCAACTTGACATCTGTTTTACCCCTAAGGTAAGGATGTTTTACATCAACCTTTTGTTACTTTATTCTCAAAGAAAAATCGCCGAAGGTAATATCCGGTCAGAGATGTCCGGTCAGAGATGTTATCTAATGACTTTTTATTAGTTTATTTTTAAAAGAAAAAATCACCTTAAGTCATATAATCTCTGATTGGTCAATTGTATATCGTGCGTAACCTTTTTGTTTGAATTCATTTTAATAGAAAAATTTGGATAGATACAATGTAGCACAGGTAAGTTTACTTTTGATATTAGTTTTAAAAGTTTTGAATAAGTAAAATAATAATTATTGTTAAATGTTCGATTAATCTTTATGCAAAAAAAATACAAAAATAATATGTTAAAGTAACATCTTTATGCAAAAAAAATACAAAAATAATATGTTAAAGTAACATAAGGTAAATATTATAGCTTTATAAGTTTTTCAATAAATATTAAATTTCCTTTATTTCATCATAAAAAAATAAAAAAAAGTTAATTTCTAGAGATCAAGAAAACATAAAAAACAAACAAATAAGTTAACAATATTCAAAGAACAAATTATTTTAAGAATATTAATTAGAAAAACTTTAAGGTATAAAATTTAACAGAATTATATGTATGATAAGAGTAGAAAAGATATTTATATACGAAAAAGTTAAAAAAAATATTATAAACAATTGATAATTGATAAAATGTCCAGGTGTTTCATTTCCTGTAAAACGTGTATTGTGCATGCGCATTGAACACTTCCTGTGACACGTATATTTTTTGTAACAGGTACTTGCTGACATCAGTATGGCTTGGTCTTCGTGACGTGTCGGGAATTTCAAATCGTTGGTATGTAGCTTTTTTAATTATAATTTTAAATTGACACTCATAATTGTTCATAAATGTTTGATGTTCTTGAAGATTCTTTTAAATTAATATATATGTATTTGATATGTGTAAACGTAGACTTTATACACAAGTTGATAAAGTTATATTCGAATATTTATTGGCACATCTGTAAACGCTGTTCTTGTTTCGTCGTAAAAAGAATGTCTTGTGAACAATACAACAAAGTGATGATAGATCTATAATTCTTCATTTATGTAGCAATGTTTTTGAGTAATAAGATAATTAAAATAATAGTTTACTGTTGCACGATTCTCGCAAATGTTTATGTGATATTTATTTTGGATATCTCTGTCGCGCACAAATAATTATTTTGATAAGAATTTGTCATCAGTATTTCTCTGGGTTTTTGTTTTTAAGTTTATATAACACATATAAAAACACATTCTATTGATAAACGGAAGTTTTCGGCTTCTCTGGTTGAAGACAGGAACAAAAGTTTATTTGATTCCACAATTTTGTTGTTGTTGTTGTTGTTGTTGTTGTTGTTGACGGCTGTGTCAGCATAGTTATATATTTTAAACATCGTAGACGCTTATTTCATATAATTTTACATCGAAGAAGGTGTTTATGGTTATATCTGCATGGTTTTACATCGAAGAAGGTGTTTATGGTTATATCTGCATGGTTTTACATCGAAGAAGGTGTTTATGGTTATATCTGCATGGTTTTTGTTGTACATAGTTTGACATCGTAGAGGCTGACTGTAATATTTCTAGTCAGGCGGTGTTTGACTGTACCGGCGAATTCGCTCGCACCTCTCTGTCTTGGCTGGACGACAAGTGATCGTTAGACCAATATTTTGCATTTTCGTCCGTTGTCAGATCGGTTAATAGATATTATATACAATAAACATAATTTTGTTTCAGATATATGAACAACAAGACAACTGTCATAAAATGCATAGGATAAGAATTCCAATGAAAGATGTTCTCTAGTGTAAGTATCTTATTTATGTAATACTTGATATTTAAATTTTTTTTACTTTTCTAGACATATTTTGTTAGTTTTAACTAAGCTATTAACTTTAGTTTATTTCGACAATAAGACTTATCCCAATTTAAACTTTATTTAATGATTGTGCGTTGACAGTTGAAACATGTATGTATACACATGTTATTCTAATATGAAATAAAGTAAATAATCAATTTGAAACTCATGATTAAGTGCTGTCATTTACTTTGAAATGCATTTTAATTAACCGATCTATTAATAAACATATAGCGAATAACGATCATTTTAAGCAATAATAAAAAAATCAAAGATATATATTTCTAATAAAAGCAAGTTGAAACTTGATATAAATGAATACAACCACCAAAAATATAAAGATATATGATTAAATAATGTAATTTTCTGTTTTGTTTTATATTGTTTTCTTGTAACATATATATATTTTTTCCTATAATAACTATTTACAATGCCTGAGGTCAATTTACCGAAAATTAGTATAGCACATAACACGGAATATAACTTTCTATAGCATACTGGCTAATCCTTGTAAAAACATTTTAACATTCGGTTTCAAGCGTTTATTATTATTATGTACCTTTGTGTTTACCTTACCAGATACTTTATATCGTGGTTTTACAATACTTTTCTTTTTAGTAGAAACAGAGTTTATAAACATCTCATTATCGGAATCATTATCATCAGCCATTGAATCTGACTGAATAGTATTATATGCTGCTTTTGACTGAGGATTGCTATTTACTTGTATGGAATTTGAGTCTGATAATTCTGAATCAGTCTGCGATTGCATTTCTTCTGAATGTGCATTACTTTGAGCATTTTCATTATTTGAAATTTGTTGTTGTTGTCGAAGATGTTTCTGTAATTCAGCTAATGGAATATCATCTTCACTATCAGAATTTGACCTTTCTTTTCTTACATTCTTAGCAACTTGGGGTAATACTGATTCTGGTATTTCTGAAGCATCATCAGTATCGCTATTTTCAGGTGTAACTACAAATGTGGCATTTCTTTTTGGTCTGCCAGTATTATCTGCTTTTGGTATTGACCAGTCATTAATATTTGCAAGCCTAATTTGTTCTGCATGGACTTTAACTGTTGAATTGTCAAATTGATTTTTTATTATATAAGTTAATGGTGACCTTTTCTCCATAATTCTATAAAATGGCTTCCAATTCACATCTAGTTTGCTTCTCTTACGAAAATTTTTATAAAATACGGGATCGCCTATTTCAAATTTGATATCTTTTGCGGTCTTATCTGCATAGCTAGCTTGTTCTCGTTTTGCTTTTTTAAGGTTCTTATAAACAGATAGAAAAGTATTATGTTGTTCTTGTAATGCAATTTTGTGATACTCTTCGCCATGATAGCGCTGCCTTGGTTGTAGCAACAGGTCCACCGGGAGAATTGGATCACGGTTATATAACAAATAAAATGGACTATGCTTTGAAGTCCTAGAGACATTGAATCTAAGTGCGGCTAGTGTCATGTTAAGATGAATATCCCATTGTTTGAGATTTCCCTGGATTCTTTTAGCTAAGATATCATGTATGACATGGTGAGAACGTTCATTTTTCGCGTTTCCGGCAGCATGATAGGTAGTTGTACGCACGTGATCAATTCTTAACTCTTTAAGTGTTTCTTTGAAAGCATTACTTGTGAATTCTGATCCATTGTCAGTGACAATTTGTAATGGACATGCGTATCTAGGGTAAATTTCTTCTAATAGTAAATGTATAATTGTATCAGTACTTTTGTCAGCAGTAGGGAAACACTCGGGATAACCACTGTAAAGGTCAATAAAACAAATAATGTAGCGGTTACCACTCATTGTTTTTTCATATGGCCCTATAACGTCGATACTCATGGTCTGGAATGAATACATTGGTACTCTTGTTTCGCCCATAGGTGCTTTTATTTTTGTAAGATTACGTGACTGACAATCAACACATTTAGAAACATATTCATACAATTCTTTGAACATATTTGGCCAAAAATATTTTTGTTTTATTGTTGTAAATAACCTCTGTGTTCCTGGGTGACCATTATTTAAATGATATTGAGTAATGACAAGGTGTTTTAAGTGTTGCGGAACAAACAATCTAAGATTAGGATTATCATCTACATTAGACAGATAATAAAGAACTTGGTCAATTTCTAAATATTTGCTCTGCACTGATTTAGTTGGCTGTCCGTGACGTAGTAACATTTTCAGTTCAAGAATAGTTTGATCTTTATCTTGCTCTGAGGCCATATTTAATTTTTCGAATTGTTTAATATCTTCTACAATTGGCTCTTGAAATTGGTATTCTTTGTTTGCTATTTCTTTGGCATTAAAGTGCGTAGAATCAAAAGCATTTACTTCATAGCTTTCATCAGTTTTCACAGCATGTGTATTATCATTATTTGAATTATTACTTGAATTTGAGACTGTTATTTCGAAGGCATTGTCATTTATATCAGGCTCATAAAGTTCAATATCGGACTTGTTAGCATTTTTATCATCAGCTGGAGGTCTAGAAAAGAAATCGGCAATTAAATTTAATTTTCCTGGCAAATATTCAATTTTACAGTTATAGGCAGAAATATTTAAAGCCCAAAGCTGAATTCTTTTGTTTTGCATAGGTGCTTCTAAAAGATATTTTAAAGGTTTATGGTCTGTAAATATAGTAAACTCTGCATTATGTAAATAAACATCTAATTTTTGTAACGCATAATGAATACTGAATGCTTCTTTTTCTATGGTACTATACTTTCTTTGAGATTCACTTAATTTATGAGATAAGAAGTATATAGGTTTTTCAATACCAGATTTGTCACATTTCTGACTTAAACATGCTCCGACCACTAAATCTGAGGAGTCCGTGTATAGAATATAAGGCTTATTTGGGTCTGGGAATGCTAAAAGTGGAATACGTGTTAACATTTTCTTTAATTGTTCAAAACTTTCTTGACATTCTTTTGTCCATTTAAACAAAACACGTTTTCTTGTAAGATTGATTAGAGGTTCAACAATTTTAGAATATTTAGGGCAAAATCTTCTATAAAAACCAGCAGCACCAAGTAAAGATCTGACATCTTTAACACATTTTGGTACCGGAAGTGACCTAATAGCTTTTACTTTTTCTGGGTCTGGTTTTATACCTTCATGATCAATTATAAAACCAAGGTACTTTGTTTGTTGCTGAATAAAACTGCACTTTTTCAGTTTAAGTTTTAATTTATGCTCTTTAAGCTTTGAAAATACTGTCTGTATATGTGATAAATGTTCATTTAATGACTTCGAAAATATTAGAATGTCGTCAAGATAACTGACAGCAAATGCCTCTAAACCTTGTAAGACATGTGACATGAGTTCTTGGAAAACTCCAGGGGCAGAAACTAGGCCAAAAGGGGTTCGGTTGAACTCAAACAAGCCTCGGAATGTCGTAAAAGCCGTTTTTTCCTTGTCTGATTCATGCACGGGTATTTGCCAAAACCCTGAGCGCATGTCTAGTGTTGTAAAATATTTTGAAGACCCTAGTAGTGTTAAAATATCGTCAATTAATGGGAGAGGATATGATGTTGGCTTTGTAATTTTATTCAATTGTCTAAAATCAACACAAAACCGTTTACTGCCGTCACGTTTCCCGACAATAACAACAGGAAATGAATAAGGGCTATGACTTCTTCTTATAATATTAGCATCTAACATCTCATCGATTGCGTCACTCATAAATTTTCTATTGTTTAAAGGTGTGCGATATGGGCGTAATTTGATTGGAGGATGATTACCTGTTGGTATTTTCATGGTTACAGTATCTGTCTGTGATAATTCAGAATCTTTATTTGCGAAAATATTTCTATTTTTCCTTAATAAGTCTCTAACAATATTAAAATGCTCTGAAGGTGTATGAATATCACGTTCGAAATCGTTGTTAAGAGGGGAAGTTGTTTGAAGAGCCTCTGTGACCGAGTTAATGCTCTCAACTTCTGAAACTTTAGCAACTACTGAATTTCGTTTTAATCTTATAGTTTTATGTGTATTATTGACAATCATAATAGGAAATCTTCTATCAGCCGAAAGTTTCATAACAGAATTTGTTATCATAAGACCTGGTTCAGAAGCAATCATTCCAGTTTCTATACTTTTTAATTCATATAATTTATCATTTTCTAAGCCTGGATTTTGTTTTAACTTAGCGGTGCACACATTAACTGTTTGAGGTTTCAGAATAACATCCTGTTTTAATCTAACAATTGATGCAATATGAATATCTTCTTCGAGGGGTACATATGTATTATTAACTCTTAAGCAGCCTAAATCAAAATATAATCTAACGCCATTTTGTGTTAACCAATCACGGCCTAAAATAATATTTCTATTCATTTTAGAAACAACATAGAATTTTTGAGTTGTTTCTGTTTTCCCTATTTGAAAATTAAGATTTATATAACCATCTATATGTAAATAATTTCCGTCAACTGAACATAAATTTATTTTCTGTTTTATAAGTTGAGGGGGATTCTTCAATTTTCTATATATTCTGCGATGCAGAAGACAAACTTCAGCACCTGAATCTACTAACGATCTGTATTTATAGTTTTCTATTTTAATCAAACACGAATTAGGGCTTCCAGCTAATGCTATACTAAATTTTGGTATTTTATCGTTCCTGTCAATGACCCCTTTGTGACAGGAACTTGCTAGTTTTCCTGAAAATTTATTTTGTTTCTGTCGTAAAAATTTTGTTTACGACATTCACGCATAATATGACCAAAATTATTACATTTCCAGCACTTAATCTTTGATTTCAAACTATTATTGCTATTATTTTTTCTAAATCGTGAAAAATTTTGTCGGTGAAATACAGAATATATTTCATTTTTCCTAAATCTACAATTACGCACATGGTGACCTGGTCTCTTACAGTACACGCAAAAAATTCTTGTATAATAATGATTAGAATTATTTGCTCTGTAATTATTGTATTTTGCGTGATTTTGAGAATTAGAAAATTTTACTCTGGCAGAAAATCTAGCTCTGAAATTCTGTTCATTCATTGCGCAAGTAATTGTTTCTTGTAAAGTTTTTGGCTTTTCTCTCATAAGTTTAAGTTTTAAATAATAATGCGCTAAATTATCCGTAAACAATTCTACTAACTGAAGTTCAATTAAACTATTATCTCCTAGTTTATAATTTTCATAAGCGGTTTCAGCACAATTAATAAATTTTTCCCCAAAAATTTGAACACTTTCTCCCAAATCTTGTTTTAAATTTCTCAAAAGATAAAATTCATGATGTAAATCTTTAATTTCCCCAAATCTAGTACTTATTTCTTCTTTTAATTGTTCCCACGAATTACGATGATTATCACGCAAATATCTACATATAAAATCGCTTACAGTCCCTTTACTTGATTGAAATGCGACTAATTTTATTTTATTATCATCCAAACCTTTTAAAACAGCATATTTTTCTATAGATTTTATCCAGTCATTAAAATATTTAGAATTTCCATCAAAATTTTGTACTATTTCTGATAAACCCTGTGTACCTATGACAGTTGAAATATTTTCTAATTTATCTGACAAATGTTCAAAAATTGTAGCTATATCTTGATCTGACATCTTCAAAATTAGCAAATTACTAGTATATTAACGATCACTCACCTTTAATTTTCTGTTACAGGTACTTCGTTGTGTCCCGCTATCCAAAATCGTCGCTTCGACATCCTGGTCACGGCACCAAATCAACCGTTGTCGTATAACGTAGGAAGAACTCACGGATGTTACATACTTTTAATATACAAATACAAACACACATGTGAACGAGTTGAATACCAAAACTGAACTCCCTCTCTGACATTTGAGAATAGTATATATAATATCAACCTGTCCTAAGGACATTTTATAATGTATATAAATACACACGTTTTAGAGTTACATATATAAATCATCCTGACATAAGGTCAGTCCGTATGCATCTCCTGCACTATAATACTCATAAATCATGTCATGTTCCATAGTGCACATTAAGAAATAAAAACCCTAATATATGTATATACATGTTGACTTGTCATTCTTTTTGAATATAGCATGTATGACTAATTAGCCTGTGCAACCAGCTATACGACAAGATCATGGATAATTTTTTGATATATTATATTTATTTGTGACTTGCGTCATAAAGGAGTGAATCCGAGGGATATTATTAATCTATACTGTACATGTTCAGTCAAAGAACTCAAATAAGTTTTTTAATGTTGTCTGCAGGAAATCTATATCTTTTTTGTAACTCCTCGTCCATCAAATCAGTCAACTATCTGTCAATTCGTCGGAATTGTGGGGTTGTCTGTCCTTACGCGTAAAATGTCCGCGAAATATTTGTTTTGGTTACCGTGCAGTTACCAAGCTTCCACAGGAACTTGAAATTCTATCAATATTAATGATAATATCCAAAATTTATTTATACTGTATAGGGGTATATTTCGGATATTATCATTAATATTGATAGAATTTCAAGTTCCTGTGCAAGCTTCAGTACCTGGGTTAGATTTAACCGCGGGTATTGGTTTTGATATTTATTATACAATCACTTACCGCGAGGTTACCGGACTGGCTACCGTAACCGTGTGGTACATTGTTTATACAATTGGCTGCTGGCAGGGGGGTGGGGGGGGGGCTGTGCGGTGGGGGAGCCAGATGAGTCGCGTGTCAAAAAACGTCATTTTAGTGCAGTTTACGAATGAATCGCGTTAAAATGACGTCGTTTTAGAAGGGAAATATGTGCTGCTTAGGATGACGTCATTTTGCCGTTGTTATTTAACTTGTAAGTTCATGAATACGCTAGTATTGTAAGAAATAGTTAGGGATGAAATGACTTTAATTTCCATGAACATATATCATATTGAGGTAAACCATTTTAAATATGTAATAATATGGCAAAATTTGCAAGAAAAAATATCCGACATATATTTACGGTTCGGATCGGAAAATCCGTCCCTCGGGAACCTGCCCGTTGGCTAACTCGGCACGCCTCGTTACCGCTCAATGGGCGGGTCCCCTCTGGACGGATATTCCGGTCCGAACCGCAACTTATGACAGATTAATAATATCTGTCATATGTTACGGTTCATATCGGAATATCCGTTCCGAGGGACGGATATTCCAATCCGAACCGCAAACATATGTCGCATACTTTTTACTTAGATAGTCTGCCATTTTATTTCATATTAAAAATGGTTTACCTCAATAAGATATTTGTTCATGGAAAAATCACTGTAAAAAATTATTTTTCACTGCAGTGAAACATATTTTCCGTATTTTCACTGGTGTCTTGCCGGACTACTTTCTTTTAAATTCTGCCTGTACACAAAATTTAAGGGAAAGTCTTTCAAATTTTAATGTCAAAAAAGTGAAATATGTATATAATAAACAGAAAATTCAAGTTTTTTTCTATAAATACATGATTTATTTTCATCTTGTGGCATGAAAATTACCATATTTCACTCGTGACTACCGCCACTCAAGAAATATTTATTTTCATACCACTCGATGAAAATAAATCATGTATTTATAGAAAAAACTTGAATATCCTCTATTTATTACACTCCTGCGCCGCGGTTTATGTGATAATTTGTCATAAAATGTCATAATGCACTTTTCAAAATAATTATTCTATGTTGTTATACACCCCCAAATTATGAATTGCAAAATTATTATTGTACAGAGATATCTTATTTGTGTTTAAATATTTTCTTTCCGTTAAAATAGGTCCATGCTCGATGGGTGCCACGCCTCTTGATAGATGTACAGAAGGAAAGACGAGTTGTGGATTAAGCAGAATTTTTGCAAAGATATCGTCGACAGTGTCTATATTATTACTACAGACGAGACTTGGTTATACCTCCATAAAACCGCAAAATATTTCATTTATTTAAAGCTTTACTTTTTATGTTTTCTGACAAATGTCAGATCAGACTTTTTCTTTCCTTTAAAAGGAAAATGGTAATTCCGGATTACATCTTGGTTCTTTATATTTGTATACAGACTCCGTATTTGCAAGAATACGAAATTTGGTATTTTAGGAATTTACGGACTTTTAATAAAAAGATCCGTATTTAAGTAAAGTACGGACTTCGTTCAACAAAGTTGCTGTATATTTCGAATGTACGAACTACGGAATATTATAGTCATACATGTATATGTATTGCATGATATACGGCCCTGCACACTTTCGTATTTTAAATTTCAGACCTATTTATAATAATTTATGTAGAATTCCGTACATTTCCGTATATCTGCAGTGGTCATAATGTCATTTATAGTGGAATTTTAACACAAATACTTATATCAGCATAAAGAGAAAAGAAAAAAAACAAATTCCGTCGAATACAGTAGCATTTTAGATAATGTGTTAGCCGGTGGCGTGGTAGAACCCGTTAACAGTTGCCAAGGATACGCAGCGAACGGTCTTTGTTGGTCAACTTTGACGTCGTGTACAAAAAATGGCTGAAACTATTAAAAAGAATCCACGGAATCTAATCTGAAATACGTCAACATTTTTCATGCTAATTTTCAAGACTCTGCTCGAAAGTTCACAAAGTGTCGTGTTCTACCCTAATTGTATCTTATGTTAATTGTTGGCGGAAGTGTATGTTGTAATGTGAAAGAAATTGTTTGATTGAAATTAATTTGAGTATTTCTGAAAAAACGTTTTTATATAAGAAAATTACTTGAACACGTTTCTTTCGCGGAGCAATATCTACTTTAAATATGGGCGGTGATGCGGCAAACCAAAATTACACGTTGAAACTGTTTTGTGAATGGTATAAGACGAACACGATAACGTTTACATTAATCGGTCATACCATTATGATATAATGGGTTGTGCAAGTTATTTAGGTATTACACTTTACATTTTTATTGCAATATAGAAGAATAAAATTGGGTATGGATGCGTAAAACTGAGTAGTGTAGTGGTTAGAGAGTTCAGATTGTGAGGAGAGTTTAGAAGAGTTCAAATCTGTAATTGTGCAATATTTTTTTGTGTTTGTATGGTCTTTACTTTCAAAAAACATTTTAATATTCTCTTATAAACCTGTGATTTATAATTTTGAACAATTTAAAGTTAAACTTACAAAGGTTAAATAGCAAAATTGAATGTATTTGATTTTAACAGTCATTGAACAGAGTGAATAGTATTGTCAATTTAATGCTATTTAAAACTCTGAATTCAATTTGCTACATTTTTTTTTAATTTCGGCTCAATTGTATATTTATATATTCAAAAATCTTCCAATCCTCATTTATCACTCTAATCACGACTGTGCGGATTGCCTCAAACTATTGTATGAACTAAATTCACGAGGAACTAAAATCCAGATCTTTGAAAAGAAAATTAAAAAAAATATATAAGTAAAGAAAAAATGCCTTTTCAAGGAATCGAACCAGGGTCTTTACACTGAGGAAGCCAACACTCAACCACTACGCTTATACGCTGAACAGTTAAAAATGAGTAATTATTTGGATGATTACAGATTAAGACGATAAATAATATGCTTTAGTATAAGAGTTATCGACACCCCTTTTTGTCAATATTGATGTAAACAGATAATGAAAGGAATAGCGAATTCGAGCTGTACCATTCAAATAATATAAAAACATGATAAAATTAGGCTAAAAAAGGATTATTCGAACATATGGTTGGTACTTAGGATCGGAGGTTTGTCCTGGTTTTTACAAAGTGAATCTTGACTCGATAAAGCTCGACACCGATCATATATTCCATAAATCTCTTCCTTAAGTATCTGAAATATATCTTTTCTTATACGTGTATCTCGTGTGTTTTCAAATTATTAATAACTCTCCTATAATTGAAAATGAGTTCTCGTGCAATTGTAATGGTGAGCTCGAACAGCAGGCGCAAAGGGCCTGCTCGCAAAGCGAGCTTTACAGTAACGCGAGTACCTGCTAAAAAAACTTTCTTCCGAAGTACTGGATTGAACACATTGCAACTTTTCGAATTACAAGATATCAATAAAACCGAGGTATTCTGACTGAAAACAGATGCGTAGACATTCGGAACTGCCTCAGCTATTATCTATAACAACCTCGGAAACAATACGGATTGAAAGAAGTTCTCCCACGTGGTTTCAGATGTAAACAGAAACAGAGATAATGTAAAACGAATGTATATAGTTGACATTTAATGTGTGTCCCGGTACTCTTATAATGCTTGAAAATATGTCTGACAGCTGATTTTCAATTTTAAACAAATCCGACTAAACAGGTTGGTTTTTATTTGTTTGGGTCGTCAGACCAAACAAATAATGGTAGCGAAATTTCAGAGTCTAATGTTGTTAATTGCAAATGCCGAAAGTAGTCCACTTTTTTGAAGCGGTTACTTCCCTTTTGTATGTACACTAACGCCGAAAAATTCAGGGCAGTTCACTGCGTAAAGTTGGTCAAAGACAGGCGCATTAATTTTCAAGCAAAGTAATTCCCGAATGGTCGAAGATTTCATATATTGTTTATTGTATTTTCTGATCGAAAATAAGTAAATACAAAGCGGACATTCAATCTCTGACACAGAAGTTTACGACAAACCTAACAACAAGTAGTTCTCAAAACAGCTTAAAACTAGCGATTTAAAAGAAAGAAATATTTTATTTTGTTACAAGTATCCAACAAATTACAACGCATTCAAAATTAAACAATAGCGTTGGCTTATAGAATTGTCAATAAATGCACAATCACAAATTACGCGGATGAATATGATTTTATCAATGAAAATACTATTTTTAGCGATGTCGATTACCGAATACTACACAAACCGAGTAGTGGAATATATAGATTCTACATGTCGGACTGTTTGGGGGAGAAGATTTTCGCTAAAATGTTTACTTCAATTTTAAACAACAGGTTTATCCTGAACAAAATACCTCGAAATTAATAAGGATTACAAATCCAAAAAGTTCTAAATTTAGAATGACTTGATGTTAATCAGGCTTGATTCTATAACTTCTCCGTGGTACAGTGGTAACGCGCTCGCTTAGTGAGTGAGAGGTCTCGAGTTCAAATCCAAGTCGAGGAAACTTTTTTTTTGTTAAATTCTGTCTTTGTTAAGAAAGTAGCC